TCAAATCCTTCCACCTCACACACCTCAGTCACTCCTCTGAAAGGCAAATGCAGCATTCCAAAGGTGATGCTAAGACTTGGTGTGAACTCTCCAGACTTACATCACGGGCAGTGGTCAAGCTCTTGCTGTTTTCCTCTCCCAGGAATGATTTGATGCTGTGCATGATGTTATCCCTCCTCTGCTGCCGAAATCTCTTCTCCTCATCGCACAGGGCCATGCTGAACCGGAGATCTGTGGAGGAGCTGGTTTGCAAAAGAGACAGGCTTTAACAAGAGGCATAATTCCAGAAAAGAATTCAAGGTATCACCCTGGGAAACGAGTGGAAGTAGGCAGAAATTCCTTATCAAATTTAATAAGATGAAATAAATTATATTATTCACGCAATAGTTATATTATTCATGCTCAGCTGTTTCCATGGAGTGACGGATGCAAAGTATAATGGAATACTGTGTCTTTAAAATATGAATTTTATATAGAACTAATTATTAGTCCTATTAGATTTATTATTAGCTTTACTATTTAGTAAGACAAGCTAAAAATACTTGCTGTGCCTACTTTGACACATTAGGTACCAGGCAGCATTTGTCCAGTGCTTTATGAAAAACATACAGCAGTGAAAAGGATCCATTTAGGCTCAGATTTGTCAGACTTCTAAAAAACTTAGTTAAAAAAAGTCATGGGATTAAGAAAGAGAGGGGAAAAGGCTGCCTAGAAGCAACATTCCACAAAGATATATATGATACTCTGACTCTGCAGTCTCTATGTATATCAGAATAGCAGCAGAACTCGATCAGACCCTTTAGTTTAACATATTCCAAAGCCTAAGAGCAAATGGAACCAAGCATCTTCTGCTTATTTAATGTCAGAGATAAGAAATACTTGTAATGTTCAAAGCCTGGATGGTTTAGGGGTGGTCTCAAGGCCCACCCACAGCTGCATCTTTCCCAGTACAAAACAATGAGCAGAAATTATCCCTGGGGGATGTTTGTCAGTCTCCAGAGTCATTAGGAAAGAGGGCAATGCTTACAGTGCTCAGTGCTGTTATTTATAGTTACACATAAAAAAGGATTCTTTAAATGCCTTGCTCTCAGAAATTAGTTTTCAGACTTAAAATATATTTTTTCTGATTATGCCTCAATGTGATTTTTGATCTTTTTCACCAGGACAGGTGAAAAAAGAGGGAGAAAGACAGCTGGAGAGGGGGCAGAAAGGGAAAAATAAAGGTAGACATCTGCTGAGCCTTACATGTGGTGAAATCCTGGCCCTAAATCTTCACCTTTGCCTTCAGCACCGTGTGGTATTAACATTTAAATACAATTTAGGGACAGGTCTGTAAGGAGCAGCCATATATGCTGAAAGTTCATGTGGGATGCAAAGTTCCCACAGAAGGTAAAACAGTGAGGATAAAGCTGAACCTGAGGTCTGTGGGTTTATGAGAGAAAAAGCCCTTGAGAAGGAAGGCATTTAACAGAAACCAGGGTGAGAGACTCACACAGGATGGCCTTGGGCCTGCAAACGTTTGGAAAGGTCACACCTATTATTCCAAATAAGGGTGTTCAGCCAGTGACAGAATTACAGTGTGAAAATAAACCTGGTTTAAAATCTCCTCGCTTTTACTTGGTATTTCTGTGCTAAAACAAGGAGGTTTTGCCCTCTATCTAACATGTTTTTAAGCAAATCACACCAGGCACATGTGAGATTCTTGGAGTTGTCCTGTGCAGGACCAGGAGTTAGACTTTGATGATTCTGTGGGTCCCCTCCAACTCTGGATACTCCAGGATTCTCTGAAAATTCTAATGAACAGATCAAAATAAAAAATAAAAAAAAAGCGCTGCAAATACATTTTCCACTTTTTTAAAATAGGAGATACTCACCATACTTCAAGGAACAATTCCAAAGTCATTTCTGTGACCTAAACAAAAAAGATTTAAATACAGTTACACCACTTAAGAGTTAAAAAAACACAAATACACCTGGAACATAATCTATTGCCATCAGAATATTCCTTTAAATCACTTTTTTAAAGGAAGGATATTTCCAACATACATGAATGAGTTTCTTTTCTATGGATTTTTTTGTTTTAAAGCACACAATGTGTTTCCAAAACACACCACTAGCACTGAATACAGTGGAAAATGTTGCTCAGGTGCTGACTTCCATTCATCAGATCCCATTGCCTTGGCTTTCTTCCATTGATAATCCCTGGCAGAGCTATTCATCTTTGGCCTGAAGGGATCTAATTCTCTTCACCCACTCGGGATTCTTTGTTTCTCCTGCCACTGGTTTCCCAGTTCTGAGCAAACCTCATACTCAGCCTGTGTCTGAAACCCAGAGCTGTGAGGGCTCTGTGTTCCACATGAGCCACCAAATGCCTTTCCACAGTCAAATATGCTTTATTTATCCACCAGACACATTGCATACAAGTTTCTGAAAGATGCAATAAGTGTCACTACATAATGATTTCACTTGCAAACCACAAGCTATGGCTTGGTCTGCTCTGCCTTTCACAGAGCACTTTAAGGGGTTGCCTGCAGGCAAAAGGCTAAAAAATTATTATTGAAGCATGTTAGGCACAATCCAAGAGTAGGAGCTGCTCAAATTAAGACAGAATGGAGAGGCATTTTCACCTCTCTGAGCAGCTTCCTACACAGGAGCCACATCAGTGCAGCCTTGCAGTAACAGACTCAGTGCCTAATTTCACTCTCCTCCAGCTCTACATGGATTATCCTCCTTGTTTGTGGCATGTGATCACCAGGAACAGAGCTAGAACCCCCCAGACTGAACATCTGCATGCCACTCAGAGCAGGGAAGGGTCTGGAGGGCAAAGCTGCCTCTGGCTCCCACATCCCAGTACCTGCCCAAGGGCCAGGAACAACCTGAAATGGGAATTGCAAATGAACAGGGAGGTGGGAGAAAGAAGAGGCAAAGGAATAACAAAGGGAGGACATGAAGGAACAGAGTGAAGAGTCATTTAGGAATCACTTCAAAGGCAGGGTAACAATTACATTATTCCCCCACCTGACATTACTAAGTTAGAAAGCACTTCAGGAACCACACAGTGATCCAATGCTTAAAAATTATGTATGAAACAAACCCTTGGAGGGAAACATTCCAATAGGGAATATCATGCCATTTTCTATAGCTTACACAGACTGCCACAGAAATCTCAGGAATACATGTTATGTATTCATTGTCTCCATCAGGCTCAACCTGACTTCACGTTCCCTTACTGTTTGTTTATAAATTTCAGAGTGTATTTGGCTTTTTTTTACACTGATTTTTTCCCCCTAAAACTCTCTACCAAGCTTTGCTGAACGCTGATGAGAAGTTAAAGCCGATGTGTAACGTGGGAAGGCCCTGTATTACTGGAATGAGCTTTGTAAACTGTGTCTTCAAAATGTATTCATCAGCTCTTTCTCACCACCTCACCTCATGCCTGGCAGAACCAGGGCCTGCACTCAGCCCACACTCTGCAAGTCCAAGAGTTACTGAAGCATTTAGTTAAATAAATATGCAGAAACTTCCAAAAATGCAGCAATTTTAAAAAGAAAAAAGAAGAAGGGTATCAAAATTCCAACCAGCCTAAGGCTAAGCCAAATTAAATGCTAAATCTTCCATATGAAACTCTCTGGTTTCCAATAAATAGGCCTTAAACCAGTTATGTGCTGTAAGCACACTTTTAAAGTTATGTCACGTGGGAGAAAGCAGAGCAGTCACAAATCAAGACCTCTGATCATGTAATAAACCTCAGCCCAACAGAGAAATGCAGACAGGATTTGAAAGGTGTCCCTGCCCATGGCAGTGGGTTGGAACTGGAGGAGCTTTAAGGTTCCTTCCAACCCAAACCATTCCATGATTTTAACACATGCAGAACAAGCTCAATTCCACACAGATTTGACAACAGTTTCCAGGAGTTACTGTGCAGGCAGACAATCCCTGTTGAAGTGATTCCATCTGGTCTGCAGACGTGTTTAAGGAGAATAATCCAATTACTGCACTGCTGCGTGTTAAGCAGGGCTGTGTTACAACAAGCCACTCACAGAAAGTGAAACATGTAATAATGAAAGAATTCCTGACAGCTTTGTGAAAGCCACAGGCATCAGCAGGAGGGGCAATGCACTGACCAGCAAACCCTGAGTAACCTCTTACACTAAGGCCACAAAACTAAACTGCATCAAGTGGAGAAGGAACTGGTCTAGCAAGAGAAAGTTTCAAACTAGGTTTTTAAAGAAGATTCTCTCAGCAGGGATGCACAAAACAGTGGCATAGTTTTGCTCAATTCTTCCCCCAGCAGGGCTGTAAGAAGATAAATACAGTGCCTTCAGGGTGACAGTGAATGCTTAGAAAACTTCAGACCTTTCAGCTCCAGAGCAGGGTATGCAGAGAACAACCCTCACCCGAGATGCCTCTGTGTGCCCCCAAATATTCAGCTATTTCCTGACTGAAAGGCTGCCACCCTTACCCCATGAGATATCCTAATCCCTTCTGGAATTCATGAAATAGCTGAGTATTAAGAAAAAACATACATACATAGTACTGAGGGTACAGAAACAGCCCTGGATCTACTTCCATCCAGGAATGAACATCAAGAGCAGGCCAAGGGCTTTCCTTACTCCAACAGAAACGTTCTACATCCTGGTCTATACAACAGTTCAGGTGTTCTTTGAAGAACCTCCCACCCTTTCAGAGCTGCCCCAACAAAGGCAAAGCCATGAATGTCCCAACTTACATCATTGAAAGTCAACTGGACTTCCTTCTTTTCTCCCAGTTTCAGAGAAGAGATGGGAAATGTGGATGTGCCAAGAGTCTCGTCCATAACGTAGTTGGCATCCATCAGAGTAACCTAGAAAAGACAGCTGGGTATTCAATTCTACTTCAATAAATCCCTTTTTAATGCCATAAGAGTAAAAAAAAAAAATTATATGGAAAAGGAATGGGTTTAACCCAAGCCAGTCAAAGCCAGAGCCAACAGACACGTTCTTTAAAACAGAATAAACTCATGTCCAGTGTAGGTGGCACCTCCAAGGTACTCAACTGCAGGAGTACACCAGGACTATCTGCAAAGGGTTTTTCATCCAAGCACCTTTCTGTCAACAAATCTCCCCATCTTTCTAAGCAGGCATAATAACTTCACATTCTACATATAAAACACACAATTACTTCGAATTTCCAGCCAGTAAAACTTCCCTGTGGAGAACTTTCCATAGTTTTCAGTGTGATAGACCAAAAAACAAACTTCACTGAAGACAGAATCCACACATCCCGGCCTTGGATGCACAGACCAAGATTTTTAGATAGAATCCATACAGAATATGCCAAGTTGGAAGGGACCCACAAGGATCATTGAATCCAACTCCTACATCCCAGCCTTGTGCGTACAGACCAAGACTTTTACAGCACTGATTTGGCAAAGTGTGCAGCATTCCAAAAGACACAAAGCTTTTCTCTGTATCCAGCCAGACCTTCAAGTCTCTTCTCCTACTCTCCGTGTCAGAGCACATACCTTCCAAAATGTGATGATCTCCAAAGATGTCTGGGGATACCACAGAACACCATCCCATGCTTTTGCTCTAATCCATGTGGATCTAGGTCTGGCAGTCTGGTTTTTTCCCCAGGGGCTGCCTTCCAAGTCCTCAAGTAAGATATTCAGAAAGCATTTCAGTCTCTATTTAAATGAGTTCGTCACACTCCTTTGACTTACGTTTTTTTCCACTTTGTGGAATTATATCTTCTAAAAATATCATATGTTTGTGGCTTGGATCATATCTTTTGCATTAAACAAAAGGAATCAAGATACAATCACTTGATGCTCCTACATCTGGGTTCAGCCTCTTCTCAGCTACAAAGAATCTTCTTCATCCTGTGCCACAAGCAACCCTTTGAAATGATGAACTGTATTTTAGGGCAGAACTTATTATTTTAATGGCATCTATATCCTGTTTCCTCATAGAACTTTACTCTGCAATCTCTGAGGAACTGTCTCTTAAAACCAGCAGGAGAAACTTCTCAGTGGGATTTTGAAGAGCTTCAGAGGGAAAACTGCACTTGGGATAGAGTTAAAGGTGTAGATTAAAATAATCCATGGAGTCACAAAGATTGTGGAGTCTCTGTTAGCTTGGGAATTCACAAAGAGGTTTTGGGTGGGGAGGTGGCTTTACAGATTGGCATTCTGACACTGCACTCCATGCAGAATCCAAAGGGTCTTGCCCACACATCAGCAGAGCCATAACTGTATGGGATTCTGTAACTGGATTCTGTAACTACAAGCAGAATCTGACCCAGTCTTTACACAATGCCAGTAAACCCAAGGAATTTTCTTATTTTCTATTCCTCAGTTTACCATTTTGCTCATCTTTTGAAGATCTTGAGAGCTGCTATTGACCACATCAATTATTTAGCCAGTTGTAGCTCCTGCAGATCCTCCAAAAAAGCACAAGATCTGCAAAAAGAGGGGTAAAATTCTTTGCCCCGGAGATTCTGTCAGAATCCATAAAAGTGGAATTGAAACAATTTTAGTTCCCATGCTGCAACAAAGGTAGATGAACCCAAGTTCTTTTCTTCCTGGCTGTTTCATGAAGAAGCCAGAATCATTCCACTCCTTTCTAATTCCTGCTCTCTATTTGCCTGACTCGTTCTTAGATTTCAAACCTTTCTCAAGTTTTCTGTGGCCAATTTGTACCTCTACAACTAAAAAGCTCTGGTAAGAATGCCCTCAGCTGACTGTTGCAGCTGACCCAGCTGGTGGCAGCTGTTTTGGGTGATCTGCTTCCTGCAGAGCTGTGGTGGAGCCATTGGGAACCCCCTCAGATTCCCTGTCCCTGGATGTATATGACAGTCCTTCATGCTCCACTGAGCCAGCCATGGGATTGTGGAGCTTATCCCTCTCCCCAGAACACAAGGAGCTCGTAGGAAGCATAATTCCATTTCAGACCCAAGAGATGATGGTCACAAGGGCAAGGAAAACCTTCACAGGCTACAGCTCTGTCCCAGTTGGCCAATTTAGACTGAACTCCACGAGCTTGGTTCAGAAGACTGCACGTGTCAGGGCCACCCCATAGGAAGAACAGAGTTAAAAAAGGACCAGAGACAACCTTAAATGCTTGCCATGCCCACTTATAAAATACTCAGATGTAACACTCCCCTTCTGTACACAGCCTGGAAAGGTTTAACACCCCGAGATTAAACGGTGGCTTAACCAACAAGCCTGCACATGGAGTGGTCCCCAGAACAGCACTGGGTGGGCTCCCAGCCCTTGGCTCCAGGCATGGAGGAGACAGCAGAACCACACTTGTGCTTTCTGTCTCCTCAGGGAGAAGCAAAGAATGGGCAGAGACTTGACTTTAGCCTCACCTATTCCCTGCCTGTGATAGTTGAATCAGTGCAGGAAGCAGGGAGTAAATGATGGCTGAGGTGAGGAATAGCAGGTACTATCCCTCAGGAGCAGTCCAAGAGGTGACTCACAGGCATGTTTGATAATGACTCTCAAGGCTACTCCTTGAATAATTCAATTTATACAACACCAGGGCTAAAAGAAAAAGGGGGGATCTTGAGACAACAGATGCCACACACGCACAAGCTGCTGTGTTTCACCTTTCCAGGCACTGTTCCCTTCCACCTTCCCAGTTGCAGCTCAGCCCTGGGATTTACCTCCAGGACATTCTCCAGGTTGGGGTCCAGGATGAACTCAAAGGTCTCGTTCCACACGGGGTTCACGTCGTTGTTGAAATGTTTCGTTCTCTTCCTGCAGTCGGGGGCGGTCGGGATGAACAGCTCCACGTAGGGGTCTGGAGTGTCAACTGCGGGCAGAACACACGCTCAGGGCAGGGAAAACCCAGCTTTTGGGTTGTAATAGTTGTTGGTGCAATTATGTGAAACCACAGACCACCTCCTGGTCTAGGGCAGAGAAGTGTGCAGCTATACAAGTTACATAAATATATCAACAGGAATGGTACAATGGTATTAATCTCCCAAAAAGAAACAGGAATTGGGATTTAGTAGAGGAGGAGAAAAGCCTTGCACAAACAGAATGGCACTAGGACTGAGGCAAGTTTATTGGGAACATGCAAACAACTGCCAGGTAAGTTTTTAAAAGTTTTCATTTCTTCCTCTCTTTCTAGCCTTTAATTTCTTTGGCTTGTGCCACACAAGCGAGTATTCCACAAAACAATGAAAACAAGCAGTTGGATCCAGAGTTTTGGATCCTCTTTCACCCTTGCTGGTTTGGGAGTGATGGAGGCGATCAGTGTGCTGCAGGAGAGCTGTCCAGATGTGAAACCACTGCAGCCAGCACGGCTTTGGGCAGGTCACCACAGAACCAAGACCTTATTTACACAGGATACTGGAATGACAACTGTGCACAACACTGACTGGAAAAGGAGATATGGCAACTATAGCTGAGCAGAATTATCAGGGGGAGAAAAGTACACATTGACAGAAGCCATCGGATGTGTCTAATAATAGTCACCCCTGAGGGCAAGGAATGCATTCCTGGCAGCCCTAAAAATCCACTTTCCAACAAGTCAAAGCTTGTAGTTTTTTTCTGTTCAATGAGGGGTTTTTTTCTGTCAAATTAGGCCAAGGCTCATGATGTCCTCCATGGTAGATTTTTCTAAAACATTGCTCAGATTTCAAATCAAACCAACTGTCTTTGGGGAGAAAAAAAACCCCACAACCAAACAACCAAAAAAAGGGCTTTCTGAAACCACTCAGGAGGTTTGGAATATGTACCCAGGCAAATTCTATTCAATTTTATTCTAATTAAACTTCTCAGGAGTTTAATTAGCCAACTGCTGCTGGTCACACTGCTCCCTGAATAATGAACAAGCAGCTCTTTACAGCTGGGGATCAGCATGGAAAGCCTTAAAATAGCAATCCTTGTTACCTCCTATGGAATTATGGCTGATCTTGTCTCCTTTTTAATGTCGGGGGAACAGGGGGATCAACCCCCAGTCCCCTCTCCCTGGCAGATGTTACAACCTGCCAACTTCTACATTCTCTCTTTTCAACCACCACACAAAGTTGTGCCAGAAAGAAGGGAATCCTTCTTGAAACTAAACATCCACCAAGTCAGAAGTGACAAGGTCTCATCTGCTAAGTCTGGACATCAAGCACCACTTTGGCAATTAACACACACACTTGGTTCTGCCAAGAGACTGAACGTGGCTACAAAACCTTGGGTTTTTACACAAAATCACAGTGCTGAACAGAGCTCTGGGCAAAACATTTATCTCCATTCAGTTTTTCGTGTCATTACATGAACCACCTTATGTTATAAAAACCTAATTTTTTCTTACAAATACAATCCCCAAATGGTTTCCTCTCCACATTCAAAACCCCAAAACACATGGAAATCTCAGACCTCTGGCACAGAGATGCCATTACTAACTTCCTATCAGGCTAAACGTGAGGCAGAGAACAACTAAACTTAGAAAAGTCAGCCTTGGTAGCTCAGCATTGACAAGCCACCCCCTCACCTCCATGCCTTTATTAGCTTTTAACCCAAGGCAAAGATTTAATCATCTGCCCTTTCATGTTTCAAAGTTTATTTTGAGCTATTTTCAGTTAAGAAAATAAAAATCTATTCTTTTGTAACTTCCTTCTTCAGATGAAGAGGAAAAAATACACTGGAACGCTGCATGCTGTGTTTAAGATATTGCTATAAGCTATATTATATTAATCAAAACCTTAATCCTTATTATTGGATGGGGACCAAAGAGCTAGATATCAGCAACCTGGCAAGTAACATGTATTTCAAAACATTAAAGTTGTCAAAGGCAGATTAAACAGTGTGTGCCCTTTTCCATGGATGTTTTTAGTCCTGCTTGTGCACTTGCCAATTGATTTGCCAGGTAATGTTAAAAAAAAACTTATCTGAAAATGCAAGTAAAAACAGCTTGATTACTGCTGTTATCACAGAATCTCAGACTGGTTTGGGAGGGAAGGGACCTTAAAGCCCATCCAGTGGCCACCCCCTGCCATGGACAGGGACACCTTCCACCAGCCCAGGTTGCTCCAA